GCAGCTTGATTTCTACTTTTTCAGTTTCAGTGAACAAGCATGTTTTTCCAATGTTTTGGCTATTATTAGTTTTCAAAGTACTTTAATAAAATTTTTAACTTTTATCTTAAATACTCAAAAAAAGAAACATTGGTCATAAACTAGAATATCATAACTGAAATTAAAGAGCATACCAAATATGAATATATAACATAAGTTGTCACCAAGGATTGGCCCCATAAAAAAATAAATAAATAAAAACCCTCATGCCTGTAATCTTAGCACTCTGGGAGGCCGAAGCGGGTGGATTGCTTGAGCTCACAGGTTCCAGACCAGCTTGAGCAAGAGCCAGACCCTGTCTCTACTAAAAATTAGCCCAAGAGTTGGAGTTGCTGTGAGCTATGCCACCATGGCACTGTACCCAGGGTAACAGCTTGAGACGCTGTCTCAAAAAAAAAAGACTCACAATACTTAGTAGCGTCTCCTATGGGCAGATAAGAACTAGGAAAGTATTCCTTTCTTTTCCGTTGTTACATTTAGGAACACTGTATTTCATGGGTGACCCATTAAATAACATTCAATATTGTTGAAAAAGTAAAATGTTGGTGAGTTTACATTTTACCTTATTTTTACATTACAAACTCATATTTCTTTATTATAGGATGAACTTTGATGTTGAAGATGAAGAAAAACTTAAAAAGAAACTCTGACAAGTGATATCAGAAGATAGTTTTTTAGAACATTACTACATTTGTGGTGGGAACAGATGAACGTTATCTTGGACTTGTAATTGTGCTACCAGAATCTGTACAGCATTGATGTAAAAGGTCTGCAAATTTCCTTTGTAAAGGGCCAGATCATAAAATATTTTCAGCTTTGCAGACCATATAGGGTTCTTTGTCATATTCCTTGTTGGTTTTTTTTTTTTTCCCCCTCCAATAAAACAACCCTTTAAGAAACAAAACCATTCTTAGCTCAGGGTCATATAAAAATAAGCCACAGGGCCGTAGATTGTGGACCCCCATAAATTATGTTCCGGCTAGTTCTCACCTGAGCCGCCTCTGCTCTTAACCACATAAATATCAAAGACTAATATAAAGTGCACTTTTTCACTTAAAGTTTTGTGGCTGTCCTAAAAAGAGGTAACTTGATTTCCATTCACCTGTTCTAAAAATGTTATCTCTGACCATATATTTTCAAAACAATGTACAAAATAAACATACCCCTTATGTCATATTTACATGAAAAGATTCATTTTGTTTTCTTTTTAAAGTTTGAAGAAATGCTTTAATTTTTCACAACTGAGAAATTATTTTTTTCAACAATAAAGGCACAAATCTTAGATAGCTGTATCATCCACAAAACTTGAGGAAAGAAAAATTATACTAACTAACTGGACATTGTAGAATATCCCAATATTTAGAGTTCTATATTTTAAAGACTTACATACTCCATTATTTTCTGAAATTGCTTTCATGAGATCTTTCCCACTGATAGTTGATTTTTGAGGTATATTTGTAATGTTTTCAAATACTTTTTAAATAGTTGTTTTTCATTCCTGTCCAGTCTATTCATTCATATAGGAAAATAATTTTACAAGTTTGTTTCACTGTAGCTTATGATGCTGTGGTTGTGCCAGTTACTAGTTCACTATCAGAGCTACCTTTTTCTGATAAATATTGGCATAATAACTGAAGTTATTTTTGTAAGAAAATCAAGTATATAAATCTGATTGGGATTTTAGTTTGCGTTTAGACTAAAAATTTTTTTTCTTGCATTTTAATAAAATTGCGAGTAATGTGTACAGAGTGTGTCAAATGATAAAAATCCCAATTTGTCAAAAGGTCAATGAATAAAAATATTTGAATTTTTACAAAAGCGTATTAGAATTGTGCTTTACTGTGTTTGAAAGTGTTTTTATCCGTAATAAATCCTCAATATTTCCAAATTGGGGTTATTTTATAATATATAGCATATATTAAGTATAATACTTTGTTCATTTTCAACTCTACTTTTCATATTCTCTCATTTTTCTCTAGTATATACTCTTAATTCTATCTTGTATTCTAATTAATATATGTGGGCACATATAAGCATTCACTACTTCTCACCTCAGTTTAACATCACCTTTTTTTTATATTTGGGATTGAAGGTACAAAGAATTAGGTTACACTGATTGCATTTGTTAGATAAAGTCTCTCTTATACTTGTGTCCCACCCCGAATAGGTGTGCCATACACCATGAACCCCATGCCCCCTCTCCTCCCCCTCCCTGCTACCTCATCCCCCATTCCCCAAAATGAAGGCAGTGAATGAGTGAATAGCTCATCCACTGCCTTCATATTAGAATTGAGTACATTAGAGTTTTGCTTCTCCATTCTTGTGATGCTTTACTAAGAGAAATGC